AACGTTACTGCTTCATAGCAATATTGAGGCGTTGTAATTATTCAGTTTCTGTGTTTATTTTAAGTTTTTGTTAAAAATACATGTTTCTAGTTCCAATATTATAGAAAAATAATAAAAAGTTTCTCTGAAGTTTATTATTTTGTAAATTTTAGCGTATTTGTTAAGTGTCTTGAAAAACTTCTAAGTACGAGTGCTTAATTCCGTAAATGTTTCTCATTGTCAAGAGACTGACTTTTTTAAGAATAATAAATACTTTTTATAAACAATAATGTACTTTTAATCTAATATCTCATTAAAAAATATGTAAAAAATATATGGCAAATATTTATGGTGATACTTCATGACCTCGCCCGTGACGGAACGACACCAAAAATAACGCTGGTAGCTAAAGGACTTTTAGCCTACAAACTTTTAAAGGCCCACGTACTTTTAGCGATACAATATATTGTATTGAAAAACTGTGATTATAAAAATAATAATAATATTTTACCTTGGTCAAGTTTGTATCAAGTTTGCTTTTTGGAATATTTTGTATTTGTACAGCGATCGATATTTTCCATTACATCTGATAATTAAGATCAACTACCTTACTATACCGACTCAGACCGGAACTAAGTTTTGCAAGCACTACTGCTTAACAGTAGCAAATGGTAAAAGGATAGTATCCAAACAGACAAACTCCTAGACCGAAAAAGCGTCCTGTTCTTGATAAAAATATCTGACGAGAATATTTCATGCATATACCTTAATAATAAATTATTTATTTTTGGTAGCGATTGAAAGTACACTAATAATAATAATTATGTAAATATTATTACTGATTTTTTTTAATTCTGTATCGCTAGGAAGATTACGCAAAATGGTTTTATAAGGGTAAAATTGGCACGAGTTAACCCGGCAGGCAATTCCCAAATTTGCATTTTTATTTTCGCCACACGCCAAAAGGATTCAACCTCATTTTAGATAAAATGAAATTGTATATTACAGGCGATAATAATGAAAAATTAATTGGAAAGTAATATAAAATAAATTAGATTTTTATTGGCAAATCATTGAAAATTATACTCGGAATTGCGTCTGTAATATAAAGTACTTTTTACAAAAATGGCACATATAAAAACACCCTCGATTCGGAATAATCATTTTCAGGCCATATTGGCCCTTACTATTTAAGGGGAATTAAACCCATTGCTCACATAGCCAATGTTACCAAGCTCTTAAACAGCTTACGCTTGGGCTTAAGCTTTCCACATTATCAGTAAGCCTTTTGACATATCAAGTCTTTTTTTATAAAATTTATGGAAATTTCGCATGATTCGTTGATTTTGTTTTTCTTTTGTTTTCAGAAGTATAAATACGCAAACATATATTTTCGGTAGCGTCGTCATTCTTTAGGCGTAAGATTAACAATTTAACAGCCGATCGCGTCATGGGTACGTACCACTCTTTCCTCAGGACGCGGATGACGTACTGAGTACGTGGTCAACTTTCATAACGTTTATTTAAAAATCACGCATTCAGTACGTCATCGGCGCATAAACTTGGATGAGGGTGTTTCTTTAGCTACTCATACATGCATCACTCATCGAAATGTGGTGAGTGTTGTAGGCGTGAGGAAGGGTTTTGTTAGCTGCGGCGCCATTGCTTGCCATGCCGAGCACCGAAATACAGGAAAAAGTGGCAAGAGTGTTTTTATAGGATAGGGGACAATCGAGAAAGTCTGATGGTAAGTGGTTTGGCCTAGATTTTTTTAGTTGGGGGCAAAGTTTGTGCTGACATATCTGTGTATATGAACTGAAACAAACTACTTTTTACTTTGTACCTCTTTGTTATTACCCTTTCTTCAAAAATATTACACAATCACAAATTACGCTGGTTGATATATGTAACACGTTTATGTTAGAGCTTTTGGTTTTTGCATTTGCACACCCTATTTAAGGTTAACAAGGTAGGTAAGTAAGGTAGGGTTTTCAAATATAACAATAATTAATAATGATATGTTTTTTTATTATATCTTAAAAATAGACAATATATAAAAGACATAAAGAAACATTATGCATATAACACTTATAGTTATTTTTCTAAAACTTATAATATATTAAAAAAATGGCCGGTGTACAAGAGAATACGCTTTAGAAAACGGTCGGCTGTCAAAGTATTAAAGTTTTAGTGTATGTTGTATTACTTACTTAACCTTTGGGGCTTAACGCTCAGAGTCAAGGTAACTCTGGGGATAAGCGCTCATTTCGAAATTTCATAGTAACAAGGAAATCGAGTTTTACCTCGCTGTTATTACCGAAATTGTTTATGTAGTTTTAAGAGCTGTATCACCGATTTTTCGGCAGTAAAAGAAATTATCGTTAGAAAATCTGTATGTCTGAAAAATTAAACAAACATTTCTAGGATTTTTAAAGGCCACATTGTGGCGGTGCGCAATTGAATAGTCAAGGTTAAAAGGAAGCTTGTGCCAAAAACTGGACATATAGGCTATTTACTTTGTTTTAATTACATAGCAATATTTTATAGCAAACCTTTTAGGGCCGACGTAACTCAGGAGCTTGGGGATCGATCCCTACCGGCACAGATGATATTCTTATGTGCTGATTTACCAAATGAGAAATTCATCATAAGTAACCTGCACCGGGCAATAAATCAGCGCGGCAAGCTAACTCCTCAACTTTATTAATGAAAAGTGGGATAATAATAATAATAAAAGGGAAGATTGAATAAGTTTTTGCTAAGCTAAAACAGTGCGCTTTACTCTTACGCTTTCATGTCTTCAGTTGCATCACCATCTCTTACCATCTGGTGGTATAGTTAACAAACACTGACTTAGTGGAACAAACAGAAATACTGAGCGTACTGAGAAATAAGCTAGTCATTTTTTATTGATATTGAAGCTATTAAACAAGGTGTTCTTTACTGATATTTAAGCTTCGTCTGCAATTCAGAATAGAAGACTTATTAGTTGTTTCAACACTTAGATTCAGACATTCACATATTAATCATCGAAAATAAGATAATCGGTCAACAAAATTTTCTGATGAGCACTCCAGAATAGAAGGTTTTAATAAACGTACTTCTATAGATATTTTTTCTCAAACTTCTTGGAAGACACAGAACGAAACTTGTGATGCAGCGACTGGTGCTCTATTTTTCACGTTTGCTCTTTAACCCGTGAGAAGGCGCGCCTAATTTTCTTACACGAGTAGGCGCGCGCGAGCAAATTGCTCACACTATCATAAATGTTCATATTTTTAGTGTTTCTATATTTATTGGCTTATAATGTATTTAAATAAATAACACAAGGTTTAGTAAGTAAGAAAACAAGTATTTTAATCAAAACTATTAAACATAATAGCAACTTCTAACGCAAATAACAGAACAACCTAGTATTAATTAAATTTTTTGGCACGTTTCATAAAAATCACAATAAAAACTGTTACATAACAAAAACTAAAAAGTGTTATTCATCCATAAAATCTACACTAATGTGCCTCTCGAAACACACTGAACACATGTATTTTACATGTTCGGTGCAAAGTAATTGCTTGCACGAAGTACATGGTTTTTTTGACCTTCTATTTTTACGTCTAGGACATATTGCACAAAGTCCTGGCTCCGCAACAGGCACAGGAGCCGACACAAATCGCTTCATTAGAAATTTGAGATCTGAGGATATGTTCTCCATACGAATCCGGCGTGAAATATGTGGTTTCACCAGCTCGAGAGCCACCTCTTTCAGGAATGTTCGTCTCTCAATCAGAGTGTTTGTATTGGCTTTGTATATTATTTGGGCATTGATCCCAGTTATATTCAAAATGGAGAAGAATAAGCGCCTTGGCCATCTTGATGTGATTCTGGCAACGGAATAATCCTCTTTCTTTTGATCTACAACATCTATGCCTCCTTTTGTAGAATTATAAAATGTTAATGACGACGCTATAGACCAAGAAACTGGAAGTGAAGCTAAACCTGAGATTGTGTTAAGTGTTGATAGCATAAGGACAATCTTCTTTGTTTTTTCTTTGGCACATATAATAAGATTATCTTATCTTCACCGAAACCAAAAATTGAACTTGGCATTGGCCTATCCTTTGTTGACAAAAAAGAAGGCGGAATGTTCCCACTGCAATTGTTCTGTAGATGTTTTTCAGTTCATCAAACAACGGTATGGATGTTAAATAATTGTCCATAGTTAGATTTCTTCCGGTGTTCAATATGAGTTGTGCAATTCTCTTCACTACATCAGCAGCGGAGTTACTCAAACTGAATGGCCCTGCGTGTTGTTTCCCGGCGTAAATCTACAAATTACTTGTGTAGAAGGTTTTGGAATCTACAAGTGCATAGATTTTGATGCCGTACTTTGCGGGTTTGTTGGATATATAAACTCTAAATTTACAGCGGCCTCTGAATGATTCCAACATTTCATGCACAGTGCAGTATTCCCCGGGTGTGTAATTTTGATTACAATGAGCAACAAAGCTTTCAAAAATTTCTCGGATTGGTGACAGGTGGTCGGTTTCCTTTCTGTTATCACGAGTATTTATGTCATCGAATCGCAAAACCCGTAACAAAAATAAAAATCTTTTTATTGACATGGTTGCTCTAAAAAAATTACATGCTGTTTCATCATCTAGCCACATTTCTTTAACATTTAAATGACAGATATTTTTCAAGCCCGCCATGTACAAAACTCCGATCAATGCTTTTATTTCAACTGCATCTGTAAGTTTGCAATCCCGTTCACGTGAAAACTTTTCTTGTAGTTTAGTTATGTACACATTCGTGTACAGGACTATTTTGTCTATCATGGTATCATCCACAAACAATGAGAAACATTGTAATAGTTCTTTGGCATTCTTAGCTACATTTTTTACTCCTGGCAGGTGTATAACTATGTTATAACTCCTAGTACGTACGTTACGTAAAGGCTTGTGGATAAGCCATTTTGTGGAATGATCTTTGCCAATATAGTATGGGATCCTACCTCTTTGTTGTTAAGTCGCGGGAGTAGAAATATCAGCATCGTTTTCATCCGACGAATGCTCCGTATCAGTTTCGTGAGGACTACGGATGACAGAACTATCGCTTTCTATGGTGTCAACACGATATTGTTCCCCATTTTCAAGATCTGCATCCAACTCATCACCAGAATCCTCTTCCAACCACGAACGAATTTGTGCTTGCATTCTATCGTCCATTTTGTATCTGTAGTGTAGCTAGAAGAAAAATAAAAATAATAACATTATTACTAAAGAGTTTTTACATGATAATCAACTAATATAAATCAAACAAATAATAATAATAATTTAATAATAAGAAATAATATGGCAGAAATAACAATCTAACTTTTTTAAACCACAAAAATAAATACTCACACGGATGGGCGCGTGATGAGTAAATTGCCGCACGTTGGTACACGGCCTCCACAAACGCCTTGCTGCGCGGTCGCAACGCCACTGAGCGGATCGAAAAATGCGTCAGGGGAGAGGGGGTGAATATTTAGGAAGGTACTTAAGTGCTTGAATTGGTGTGGCAAGGGAAAGACAAAAAAATTTTTAATTAAATTTTTGTGTGAGCAAATTGCTCATAGCGCGCCTTCTCACGGGTTAACGCTGGGGCGTTCCACATATAAAATTTCTATTTGAACAACGCTCGTGATTGCTTGTATTATACAGTAAGCTCTTTAGTTTCAGAGTCATCTCCGCTTTCTGATATGATTTACAGCCTTTCTATTGAGGGTAAGAATATTATATCGTCACAATCTGCATCACTTGGAAGAAAATTTTCGAAATAAGAATTATTTACCATATCAGTATTGATTACTTAAGACTAAAGCGAAAAAAAATTCTCATCTGATTTTAAGATATTTGAGTCAACCAATTTGTTTGTAGAGTAACTGTAGAGTTATAGTAAAAATGGTCTCCGGTTGTCTACACTCACCATACGAAACACAGCAGGATTAAACTACTATATGACGCTGGTATTCTGTGAGAGCGTCGTCTTCCCCGGTCGAGCCGACCCATTCGTGCTACAACTACAGTACTATTATAACTGCAGCATAGCTCTACCACCTTAAAAATGCCCTAATAACAAAGAAAATACAGATCCCGATGATGTATACCCTCTCAACTGCGGATGTCCAAGACTTGGACACGAAAATATCTCCGTTGACTGCAGGCGTCCAAGTGTTAGACATTTTTACCCGCCCTTTTAATGAAGAAACAAAGCATTATGCGCTATTTCTAACTCATTCTACCATATGTCAATGTGTACAGGATAAAAAAGGCTAGCATAAAAACTCCACAGCTTATACAATTTAGTAGTATATTTTATTTAAACCATTCTTAAATGTCGTCCGTTCCTTGAGTCAGCCATCAGTGTGATTGACGCGCGCTAACAACGAAGTTGTTTGTAATTATTTTGTATTAATTTATATTTATTGTGTGTGAATTGTAAAACAATGCCTAAGTAAGTTACCTTCTTATTTGTAAGTTCATTTTGTGTTTTATCTTATTAAGTACGTGTAAAATCTTTTTTTAATATGTATGAAGCAAACTGCTATCTTAGAACTAACATGCTGGTTGAGGAAAGTTGACTTGAAATGTACGTAAAATTTTAGTGTTGACTGTCAGTTTTCTGTTAAAATATGTGTAATTGTTCATCGTTCATAGTTTTAGTACATCAAAATGAGGATAAAGTGCATTATTTTCAAAATTTTAAGGTAAATACGCAATAGGTGCCATAGTGCCCATTTTTGAGACGTCCGCAGTAGTGAATTTTAGTTCTCTGTTTTGCGGGTGGCTAAAAAAGGAACTAAAGTTTGCCATACTGCATCAAGTTCAAATTCGGTTGAATGGTTAGAATGGTAAAGAATCTAGCGCCCTCGAGCAGAGAAATGGAGCTTGGTTGACTCCACGATTATTCGATGATTTATGAAAAATTGAATGTGGCATTTGGATATGTCATGTATGTTAACACAAGACTTCGGAATTTTTTAAACAATTTATTAAATCAGAAAATTAGAAAGTATTTACATAATATGCTTTTTTTATATTTTTATTTTAATATTTTTTAATATTATTCAATATTTGAAATTTTTATTTTTTTTTATTTAATATGAACAGGTTGTGGTTTTTAAGGTCACCTCAGACACATATTTCTTATATTGTTTTTTTTTTAATGTACATTTTAACTGTATGTGCTTTGGAAATCGTGTAACGTTGCGTTATGTTTCAACCTGGAGCAAGATTGCTGCTACCTACAGTACCATTCGTAAATGAATTGTACTGTAGCTACAGTAAATCCAACAAGTACCAGGAGCCTTTTAAAGAAATGAGTAGCTATGTTATATATTTATTCAATTTTATACTTATAGCCTAGCTATAATTTGTTCAGCTAATTATTTCAGACTATCATCATCGAAATTGTTAAGTTAGTTAAGTTACACAGTCTATTTCCGTCCCACTGCTGGGCCTTCCCTCACTTCTGAAAGGGTTTTAGGGCAAAGAAGTATCCGCCGCGCTGCCCATATGCGTGTTGGTGAACTGCACATGCCTTGGAAATATTTTTTTTATTTTTCAGACAGTCAGACTCCCTCATGATGTTGTCCTTCACCGCCGAGCAAGAGGTAAATAAGCACTTAAAATTGCTATTAATAATTTCATTGATACCGGCGGGGATCGAACCCGGTGTGCTAGCGTACTGTGAAATTTAACGCGAGAGCTAACAATCTGAACTACCAGGGCTCTCTCATCGTCGAAATGAATACTAAAGTTAGTTAAGTTACAGCCTTTTTTACGCCCCACAGCTGGGCAAAGGCATCCGCTTATTTCTCAGAGGGTTTTAGGGCAAAGAAGTTTCCGTCGCGCTGCCCCAATGCGTGTTGGCGAACTTCACATGTCTTCGAAATATTTTTTTTCTTATTTCACAGACGTGCAGGTTTCCTTACAACGTCTTTCTTCACCGCCGAGCACGTGGTAGATCAGCACTTAAAATTGCAATTAACAATTTTATTATTGCTAGCGGGGATCGAACCCGGCTTGCTAGCGTACTGTGAAATTTACAGCGAGAGCTAATCATCTGAGCTACCACGGCTCTTCTGAGCCACCATCTGGCTCTCATCGTTGAAATGACTACACCTCTTTATTTTGTATGTTTTTTTTTCTATAGGATAGGGTGACAAACGAGCACGCAGTCCACCTGTGGTGTTTGCTGCGGCCCATAGACATCTACATCTATCCTCGATTACAAATCAAAATGCAGATGCGTGTCACCCGTTAGGACTAAGAAGGAATGCCTCGTTTCCAGTAAAAAGGCTCTCCGGTTCTCTACACTCACCATACGAAACACAGAAGGATTAAGCTATTATTTCACGCTGGTGTTCGGTGAGAGCATCCCCGGTCGAGCCGACCTATTCGTGCTACAACTATACTACTTATATAACTGCAGCATGGCTCTACCACGTATAAAAATGTTTTAATGAACTAGTCCATGATGCACAAAAAAGTGCAGAATCGGACTTTAATTGTGGCATATTTTTGTATAATGCATAAGAAGTGGGTTCTTTAAAAATATACATAAATAATTTTTTTTTAATTTCAGGAAGAGATATATTTATTTTAAATTTTATTATTTCGTAGCTATTATTTGTGTTAAACGAAATATGTTAGCTTTTGGAGAAATAATGTTGTTGGTTATTGCAAATGTAACATAACCGCTGCGCACCTCGCGGCGCCTCTGTCACTCTACATATATTATGGTGCATTGGGTATTGATTACAAAAAACGTTATTTATAACTCTACATCAGCGGGAGTGACCCTTGAGTGAATTTATGGTTTTTAAAGGAATGAATGAATCTTTATTTCTGTACAAGTGCTGTTAAAGTTTGTTTCCTCAAATAAAATAATAAATTTTTCAATCAATATGGTACTTACGCCTAAAATTTTGATATCGGCATTAAGAGTACTTATAAAATACTTTATGAGATTTCTAAAACTTAGCAAGACCTATTGAAAGATGACTGAATCATGTAAAGAAAAAGAGAGGTTCAAGACTGAATCATTATAATAAAATAAAAAATAAAATTTTTTATTGAATAAAGCATTACGCCGCATTATGCCGTATCTGGTCCGAACTACATTCTACATCAGTGTAAGTTGATTGTGGGTTCTTGTAAGCTTATTATTAATGCGTTTTATGATAAAAAATTGTATTGTAGCCAATGATTTTGCACATAAAATATTGTAAACAATAGATGTAAGATTAAAATAAAATAAAAATGAACTATTAAAAAACTTTGTGTCATTGAGAAATATGATAGTTTTGACTTTATGCAATATTTAGTTATACTAATTAGTTTAAAACTTTATTAAATATATGTACTAGTTTATAGGAAATTTCATAGAGAATTCAGAAATGTATACGTATCATAGTATTTGATATACCAAAATCAAGAAATTTGCGTTTAAACGGATTACGCCCAATGTGCCGTCAATTTTATTAAACAGCTCCGCAGTCAACGGAGTATTACGGTTAGAGTCTCCGCAGCTGAATGTATCCTATGAATTAAAAGTACTATACTGTGTGCTATTTTCACATTACATATAGTAGGAGAACGACTGAATTTAGGAATCGAAATCTAAAATTAATTAAATCAATTATTTGTACAAATCTCTGTTAGTTTTTTTAGGTCACATAACCTTACAGAACTATTTGCCAACATTTTCGCCATGATTTCTACTGATGTTGTTCAGAGAATTCCATCTAATGCAATGAAGTAGCCTAGAAAAACGGACTAATTCCGAAGATAACAATCTGATAAAATTGATAATTAAGGCTGAGTTTGTACATAGGTAAGCTATATATGCCTACCGAGACCTTGCAAGCAATCAGGAAGCCACCTACCATAGAGAACCGCCTGCTAAACAAATAACAGCATATGATTTAAAAATATTCAACACAGGTCATGAAGTCATCTTTCGCCTTCTAAGCAAAAATCAGCACGTCTTTAAAGGTATAACTCAATTTACTTATGTGACGTAAGAATATTCAATATAGTACAAAACCAAGGTATAAATGTTTAGACAGCTCAGTAATAATTAAGTAAGTTTGTAAGTTAAGTAGTCTAGTATTCCTGTGCACATTATCACAGTAGTTAACTTGAAAGTTAGAAAATAAAAGTTCCCAACCCTCCGTAAG